CCCTGTGAGACTCTGTAGAACCCTGCAGGACTATGCAGGACTCTGTAGAACCCTGCAGGACTATGCAGGACTCTGTAGAACCCTGCAGGACTATGCAGGACTCTGTAGAACCCTGCAGGACTCTGTAGGACTCTGTAGAACCCTGCAGGACTCTGTAGAACCCTGCAGGACTCAGTAGGACTCTGCAGGACTCTGTAGGACTCTGCAGGACTCTGTGGGACTTGTAGATCTGCTGACATCTCACCGTTCTGTCCCCTGGAGTCTGAGACCTGATCTGGACTCATCACTCTGAAGGTCACTGATCCTCAGGTTCAGCTTTAGGCTCCACCCTCTGACCCTGCTGAGGCCCCGCCCCCTCACCTGCAGCAGGTGAACTCACCGGCATGTGGAGTCTGAGGGGCCTCCTCTTCCTCCTCCTGCTGTTCCTCTCCTCCTCATCCTCAGTGCTCCCCATCAGGTCAGTTGGTTCTGACCCAGTTGGTTCTGACCCAGTTGGTTCTGCTGTGAATGAACAGTGTTTCAGCGCTGGTTTATGTGCTGACGTCATTTCCGGTTCTAGGCTCACCTGCAGGATGTGATCCGCTGCAGTCCAGCCAGACTCCCGCGGCAGAACCTCTGATGTGGATCGGAACTGTTCGCTGCGACCGAGGCCGGACCGAACCAGATGGGTCCGGGTCTCAGAGGGTCCAGATCCTCCAGAACCGCCGGGCGCTGGGCCGCTCCATGACGACGCGGCGGGCACCAAGCTGCCTTCTCTGACCTGATGTTTGGGCTTTTAGGTTTCATGTGGACCACTTCCTTTTGTCTTATTTTGAAAGCGCGAAGCTCAGTCACGTGTTTCCTGTGCGTGTGAGCGCCGCACCGCAGCGGCTCCGTTCAGAAGTCCGCTGGAAAAACCTGCTGATTTTAGCTGTTCTGGCTAACAGTTCGCTGTCCGCCGACGTCCTGCCGGAGTGCCGCAGAGCAAAGAGCCGGTAGGAGTCTGTGAGTCCGACATCTGAACCAACATCAGAACTTTGTGTTTACATGAAACAGACTGTTGATCCGTGTTCCTGAGGCTAGCTCGAGCTAAAGCTAAAGAGTTCCATTATCGGACATGAAACCCGTTAGTTTCCTTTCTGGAACCAAGTTCAAACTACTTTAGTTAAAGATGCCTCAGATTTACTGTTGAACCTGCTTAATCCGGTTGACTGTGTTTCTAATCTGAGTTTCAGTTTGGTTAATCCCCGTTTTCTCCTTGTTTTACTGCAGAAACCGCAGATGAGTTTAGCGCAGATTAAATCAGAAAGCTTCATGCTGGTCAGCGTTTAAAGCAGGAACATTACAGATTAATGAGCCGAATCTCAGAGGTAATCCTCAGATTAGCAAAAGGCCAAGTGTTTTTAAAATCACTGTAACACTGGGTTTAGTTTGTAGCTGCTGATTGTCTGCAGGTGTGCACAGGTCAGGTGGCTGCACACACAAACAGGTTGGTCTTATCAAAGCCGAACTGAAGACGAGTTCCTCCAAAATCTCACAATAACTTGTTTTTAATAACTTCAGTTCTGTAGTTTATTAAATCTAAATGAAACCTTAAAACCAACAAAAAGTTAATGGAGTTTTGAATGAGGGCACGCTGACCCGTGGCAGTTCAGGTAGTTGAATTTTAATCCGCTCACATGACCCTGCTCCTCTTCCTCCACCTGAGTGTTAATGATCAGCAGAGGTTTGTCCTGTGACTCTGAGCTCAGGTGTGTTGGGCAGACAGGTGAGTCTCTCTCTCTCTGCAGTGTAATGTGAGGCGATGCTCTCTCGGCCACCATGCCCAGTGTCACGCTGCGGTACTTCTGTTATGGTTGCCTTGTCACCTCAGCAACCTGGTCCGTCCTCCTCTTCCTCTACTTCTCCCTGGGGGCGGAGCCTAACAGGACCCCCATTCAGCACCGCAGCCAGCCAATCAGCAGAAGCTTATCTGACCACAGGGCGGGGCGTCGGCCTCCTGCAGCCAGTAGGGGGGCGGAGCTATCGTCAGAGATGGGTGAGTGTTGGTGGTGTGGGTTAACATGTCCAGAACCTGGGTTTCAGTCCAAAACGACCGGGTTTCAGGTTCTGTCTGTCTGCAGGGATGATCTTTAATGAAGCGGATCAGGAGRTTCGGGACACCGGATACCATCGCCACGCCTTCAATGTCCTGATCTCCAACAGACTGGGGTACCACCGAGACCTGCCAGACACCAGAGACCCACAGTAAGACCGGCTGCAGAGCAGAACCTGTGGGTTCTGATCCGACTCGTTTGATCTTTCATCAACTCAGAATCAAATCTTTACCTGAATCTGTGCTTTTAGTTCATTAATGTCCTGTCCTGGTCCTGGTCCTGGTCCTGGTCCTGGAGGACCATTATCACCTCCTCAGGTTCTGCAGCAGTCCTGATAACCATTCATTTTAATCAGGTGTTGGAGCAGAGAGACCTGCAGGATGGTGGTCCTCCAGGACCAGGATGGTGGTCCTCCAGGACCAGGACCAGGACCAGGACCAGACAGCACCTGATCAGTGGTTGTAGATGTTTACCTGCAGAACGATGCTAACCTACTGAGTCTCTGTCCTAACTCAGGTGTCAGAAGAGGTCCTACCCTCAGGCTCTACCTTCTGCCAGCGTAGTGATCTGTTTCTTCAACGAGGCGTTCTCCGCCCTGCTCAGGACCATCCACAGTGTTCTGGACAGAACCCCGACCTACCTGCTGCACGAGATCATCCTGGTGGACGACCACAGCGAGCTGGGTAACAAACACCACCTGCGGGGGGGATTGGTTACACACCTGCAGCTGTGATTGGTTACACACCTGCAGCTGTGATGTGATTGGTTACACACCTGCAGCTGTGATGTGATTGGTTACACACCTGCAGCTGTGATGTGATTGGTTACACACCTGCAGCTGTGATGTGATTGGTTA